CCCGCCATGCCTTAGCCTTGACCTGTAAACCATTAGCCTAGACGCACAAATTTCGGTCATACCGCTGTAGGCGAATCAGATCAAAAATATCGGATTATTCTGAGGTCAACGAATGTTCAAAAATTTATTTTCTACAAATTTTGATGTAGAAAAGCTTGGTGTGGCGGTCACACGCTGCATCACATGTTGATTGGCGAAGATTTAAAACGATGCACTCGTATCGTCAAGCCATTGGACACATTTCGTACGGTTTCAGCATTTCCGTATAACATGCGATGGCTCCTGTGAGTAAAAATCTAAAAGTGATACCACAAATTAGTAAATGTCTGCCTTTACGTATTTTCAATTAAAACAAACTCGTTTCACTAGATGTGGATACATTAACAGTATAATTAAAACAGTTCATAACAATACACTCCCTTTATGACACGTTTTCTCGCCGAGCTTGAAACGAAACCCGCCATTCTCGAAATTCAACCGTGGCAATTTTTTCAAATGCTGCAGCGCCAATAAACTGACGATGCGATTTGCGTTGACACTGAGTCACTCTCTATACTGATACAAAAATCACTACATCGTCTCGCCGTTCGTTTTACTTACTCTCAATTGATCCGGCTTTCGATGTAGATGCATTGCTGTGGTAGAGCTACAATCAGCCAGTCCATACTCCTTTTGACAAGCCTGAGAGAAAAAAAAGTGGAAAGCAGAGATCCGTGCAAATCAACTCCGGGGTGAATGCGTGACCTCAATCATCCACAGTTTGTGATTTCCAAAACTGGAACCCCGAATAGAACATGATACCGGGTATTGATAAAGTCACGGATGCAGGTTAAAGCACGGCTACTCTAAGCAAGCGATCAAGTGTTCTTTTTCCACTCAGATTTGTACTGTATTGGTGCAAAACTACTACTACTACTACTACTACTACTACTACTACTACTACTACTACTACTACTACTACTACTACTACTACTACTACTACTACTACTACTACTACTACTACTACTACTACTACTACTACCATCCAGGGATTAGACTGAAAATCGCAATCGATGAACGGGATTGGGCAGAGTTTGGAAGAAAAATGACCGGGAACGTTGGTTTGCCAAGTGTTTGCACAGGCTGAAGAAAACAATTTGGCCAAAGCGGAAAACTGCATGCAAGCGCTGCTGGACGACATGAAAGAGAGGAGGAACGATATTTTCTGTCTACCAGGAAGGCGTCAAACGATCAAGCCAGTCTCACTGTTTTGCCCAGTTTAAGATTTTACCATTTTTGTAGTTGAAATAAAACACAGAGTGGCAAGCAAGCTCGTTTTCAGCGATTCGTAATCATGCTCGTGCATCACAACATACAGGTCTAATGGAAACTGAAGCAACGGGTCCCGGTGAAACACTTGTGTGTTCGTTCAGGCAACAGCATTTATAATAGATTAAATTTTTTTCCAAATAGTAATAAACAAGCCTTGGTGAGTCTTTATAGCAGTGAATCCCTGATTCATTTATACTCAGCAGATGGGATAATTCAGAATGTACGGGATACTCCCATTTCATCAGTAGTAGTTGACCTAGAGCATGAAGAGTTAGGAGGTAATTTAAGGGAATGGAACAGTTTTTATTTACTACAAATTAACATTGATACTAACTAAGATGTAAAGTTTACGTACACTAATTGTCGATTGGTCTGCCCTTGTTCTTTAGGACTTTTTCGAGTCTCTTCGGCATGGAATCCACCAACTTTGTTATGAAGTCATTTTCTATTTTGTGCTGCATTACGTATCGCACTTTTGTCTCCAATGTCCAATGTGTAGGTAGCACATTGATCTCTCTCTTCAAAATAGAAAACAGATTTTCAATCACGTTGAGATCCGGGCTATTATGGGGAAGTTGCATGAACTGGACCTTAGCCACGCATCTTTTCTGAAGTCTAAAAGCAAATAATAGGTGAACCAGACTCCTTAACTAAATCAGTTTACTAACCTCTCGTGAAACATGTCATGGAGCGTTATCCTGAAAAACAATAACTTTTCCAGACGATGTTTTTCATGAACTTCTGGAAACATTTTCGTAATTACTGATACAAAACTCCATTTGATCATAAAGAAAATATTTCAGTGCATCACAATCGACCAGTACTGTATATGAATGATTAAGAAAAAGTTGTCTTCGAAAGAAAAGAAAAACATTTGGCGTTACGGATCAATGGGATTAATCTCATCGTGATAACGGAAGTCGGATTCACAATGCTCACATATAGTTGTTTGTCCTTAAACGATACGGAGTTTTGTAAGGTGTTGCTGGTGCATCGAACCATTTCAATAACAAACGTCCCGGATACCCACTGTGTGCAAAGATCGATCTTATAAATCGGAGCAAGATTTCTAACTTGTCCTCACTGCAGCTCTTGCTTACCCTATCCACTACGAGTCAACGAATTAGATTCCTCTCTACTTGGGGTGGTTTGGAGATTCGAACTGGTCTGTTCAGGTTACTTTTTTCATGCATCAAACCTTCTGATTGACAAGTGATACAAACATCCGGAAGCGGCAGCTGGTAAACATTCAAGGGGTACACATCAACTGAGATCATCAATGGGAGATTATCGGACACAATCCACATAGGATGTTGTTTGCATCAAAGCTTCGTGTGTTATTCACATCCAACCAAATTGTGGGTTTGCAAAGTTCCTGACTCTGCGGCCTCATTCTGTATATACTAAATTATTCCTCCATGTAGAACAACGTGCATAGGTTGCACGGTCAGGTGACTGTCCGAAGGGATTCGTGAACACCACCGTGCATGACTGAAGGATTAGGTCACTCACCAGTGCAGTGGTTTCACTTAACAAAACTGATCTTACCGTGAACGTGGACGAGGCTTTCCGTCTCCTTTGTCAGGTTAGTGGTCGATTATCAAGAGAGGTTCTGTGTCCGATGCTAGTCACAGCAGAAGCGGTGGCAATTCGTTTTCACAGCCCTCCCACCACCATTGTGTACCCCAAAATAATTCTTGCAAGCGCAAGCGCAAGCATTGCCCTTCTCCTCCCTGTCACCCGTACACCACATGTTCCGAGTAATCTTGATGATCGGATAAGTGAACAAATATCTCTGCGATTTCCACTTTCATGATTAGATCAATCCCAGTAATGCGTGATGTGATTTATATTTTATTTTCCCTGGACAACTTTATTCTTAAGTAGTGATGCATTTTGTGATGTCTTGGCATGATTACGAACTATTAAAAACGAGCTTGTTCGCCACTCTGTTTTGACTAAACTGTGGTCTATGGGACTACTCACATGATCTTTGCAAACAGTAGTTAAGTTTAGCGTGTTGTTTCTCATAAGTGTTACCCTATTTCTGATTGGATGATTCTAGATTTTGTGGATGAGACCATTAATCTGAGGTTAATGTCAATTGCTTTCCTCCCATTATTGGTGGCAATATTACCGTGATTCTATTGAATACGTCGATCACTGATTCGTGTACTAAACTCACTCGCGAATTGGATAGGTGAGCATAATCAATTTGAGTTGGTGATTAGTCTAATTGAATTTTTACACACTCAATCTGCAGTTCATCCAGTAAATCGGGTTGAATTTCGCATTCACTAAACCCAATCGCTCGTGCATATGCACTAGTCCATCCAGAGAGGGAACCTCGGACACTGCGGACGGAAGAGGTGTGCTATCGGTGGGTAAATCAGATCACACTGAATTGACCGGGGAACTCCTCATTCAAGGTTTTTCCCCGACAGGTTCTTCATAGACAGTCATGATTTGATCTTACATACAATTACTGCAACTAATACCTGCACTAGTATTTTGCGGCACTACTCAAATTTATGAGTAGCATGTGTGGGACGTGCAAGAGGATATGATTTCTCACAACTGCAAAAAATGAACAAGATATCCTGAAGCAAACTTTTTGTTGAAAATGGCGACTACAGGAAATGCATGTCAACCATCAAACTGTTCCATCAATGATTGTCTTGCGTACTTGTCGCAATTATGTTTGGTCTCTTTCAGATGGGGGGCTTCTGTGTAACCCGATTTACTCATACTCAAATCGTTGTTCTGAACTGATAACCTTCCTCAGTCTGGTTCTAGCTTTCAGAGTTGCAACACTACTAGCGCTACTTTCGCTATCATTCTTACTGTTGCTACTGATGGGTGGTTTTAAATCAAATTGCAACAGGTTTGATTTACGATTAGCTACTCAGATGGGTTCCAGTGTGTGCTGGTAACTGTACCTAGCCACACAAGTGGCGTGCATTCGAACATTGGAAAAGCTGAGCGGTTGGGACGGGATCAGAGTTCTAATGTTCTTTGAGTTTAGTGGAGTAGTTCATTGAATTATACCGTGGATTCCGTCATGTATGGAGCGAATGAAACGTTAAATGAAAAGCTCGGAATCACTGTGCAGCTGTTTCGACCGGACTGCGTCCCAGCAGCAAAGCCAATCCATCGACGCCATTACTCTCATGCAACAAGTAGTTGAGATGGAAAGCTTCCAATGGAGTCATAACCCCGAGAGTTAGTGATGAAATGCGTGAGATGTGAGGCCCATAACAACTTCACAAAAACGGGTTATGCGACATCACGTATAGGCAGCACGAAAGCGATCAGCTACCCGGTGATCGAGTGGGCAGTATGCTTGCGTTCTACCTTTGAAGTCCCAGGTTCGATTCCCGGTTGGATCGATGGATGCGCACTGCTCATGAGACACGACCAAGTTAAAAAAGCTGTCCGGGGCATGTTAAATTTTCAGTTCACACTACATCTGCTCTGTAAAAAACGAAGTCTCCCGTCAGTTCGATAAAACAACCTAACATAAGGAGTGAAGAAAAATAATACATGCCAAATGGGGAGAAAAGAAACCGGATCCAACATGGTACGTCACCAGAAAGGGGGGGGGATAGAAAACAAATAGCAATACGGTTCGAGAGAGGGAGAGATTGCCAATCTACGGGGAGATGAAAACGGTCACCGGAACTGTACAAAGCATTTCTTACTCACGTAGGTCTCGCACACGGGGCACACATATTTGCGTAACTGTGGTGTGAAGCGATGGACTTCAGTCTTAAAATTGAAAACATAGACCATAGGTGGGGCAGTTATGACTGTTGTACAGTGAGTAGTGATAAAAAGATATTGGGACCACTCATGTACTACAAATCACTGTGGTATCCGCGTTGTCCAAAGTTCCTAAATTTTCTCATGATCACAACTGCTTATTTACGAGGTACTTCGTTTTAATTACATGAGACTGAATTTTTTTGCAACCATTTTTTTTATTATTTACATGATTCTACAACGATGTACCTTCAGGGGGGGGGTTGGGAGCGATCAATTAGAGGACTACCACGTGATTCAGAAAACGGGAAAACTGGGCGGCAGAAGTAGAATTTGAATTCATGAGCTCCGAAGTGATAAGTGGTTGAATAAATGTGTTAAGCTGAATTGACGGTGTAACAGAATTGGAGGATTACTTAAAAAATCTAAACTACATTTCCAATTTGCCCTCAAAATGCATAATTTACAATTCGGGTTTCTGTTTCGGACAGATAGTCAAGAACAACTCTGCTTTGATGAAAGTATCCATAGAGCCCGGTTTCCCACTTGATGTGGACTACCTTCTCTGGTGATTTCGGGAACAAAGCATATAGTACGTTCATTTTTGTTTTCAATGCTACATCAATTGGCTGGTTACAGCATATTATGCAGTTTTAAAAATGGGGGAAGAAGGGATCTACAAATAATTGATTGTTTACATTACACCAATTCTCCTACAAGTTATATGTTCGAGGCTGATCGCTTTGTACATCACGATCGGATTAGGAATAACTACTCAGACCAATTGTTTGTGGTTGTGGTAGGTTGGTCGACCAGTTGGTAGAGCTGTCAAAATATCTCTGCGATTAAGACACACTGAACAATTCTCCTTATCTAGCGCTTTTATGCGTGCCTAGGTTCTGGACGATCTACATGGAGAATTTTATAGCATTTTTACTATTCTCTTATTTTTGCGCAGCATTTAGGGACGTATTTGTTTGATGTTACGCTCAATGAAGGACAATTGAACCAGATCTCTTTGTGACCCCCATCGCCGGTTAATTCTCTCTGTTC